ATGGCCTCAGGGTCACACCCTCTCCCCTTTCAACTCCTCTAAGGCGTAAGTTTCACAACTGAACTTGTGAGATTATTAATTGGTCTAAATACCTGGAGGTGAAACTCTGTACAAGACAGAGAGAATCTGAAAGCAGAACTGATCCATGGAATGCGTCAGACCCAGTTTGACCAGATTCAGCAACAACTGTCACTAAGGCACTGGTCCAGGGTTCAAACAGTACACATTTCATCAGTCGCTCATGGTGACCACACACACACAAAATTCTTACTCAGCGCAATAATGGTTTTGCTCGTGTGTGTTTGTTATTAAACCATCTCATGGACCACTGAACAAATCTGAATGAAAGTATCATTTGATGTACCTCCACAACAAAACTATTACCATTTGGAGTCAACCCAGTTCAAGGTGGTTGCAGCCAGCAAACCTAAAAACCTAAAACAGACTGTTCTTTCACAGGTTTCATCTCTGGAGCTAGTGGTTGTCAGAACGTTTGGACCGGACACTAAACATTTGACAGGTTTTAGATAATTTCTCAGCTTTGTGTTGCTGCACAGCTGAGCAGAACCAAGAACTAAGATTTTAGGATTCATGCTGTGATCACACATCTCATGTTTTATTCCCTTAAAGATGCGACTGGCCCCTTGTTGTCGGAACATCTTGCTTTAAAATTTATGCCAGTTGCAGTTTTAAGCAGCTGCTGGAAGCATATTTGAATACTTTCTTTATGTAAAAACTGTAGCAGTACATTGATGTGACAGTGTGTACATGCATGTGAGTCAAGCTGTTGATGGCATTGATCTGAACAGACGACTCAGATGTTCTGTGAATCTCCTGTAGCTGATCTTTCCTGAGCAGGACTTTTTAACTGTGGGGCGGCTGTGGCTGAGTGGTTAGAACAGTCGTCCTCCAATGCGAGAGTTGGGGGTTTGATTCCACCAGCAGTCACATGCTGAAGTGTCCCTGGGCAAGACACTGAACCCCTCACTGCCTCTGATGTGTGTCTCATCAGTGCATGAATGTGATAAAGCTCTGATTAGTCTCTGCAGATTCAGATTATCTTTGTATAGATGTAGTAGAGTGTTGTATGAATTTGTGTGTTGGAGGTAAATGAGGCACAGAGTGTGTTGTAAAGAGCTTTAAGTATTTTGATAAGATGAAAAGGTGTTATAGAAGTCCATTCCATTTACCATTTAGATGTGTTAACTGTCCTAACTACGCAACATTTTCAGACTGAAAAATGTTGGATTGTATACCTGGATTATTGAGCATGGACTTTGTTGCCCTAACTACCATCATCTGGCTTATGTCTACTAACAGGCTCATTCGTTATCAGTTCATGAACTCCCACAGGACAGCCACTCTGTTCTCTGGACCCACCCTCGGTTCTGATGTTTCTGTAAACTACTGCAGCTAGAAGTCTGTTTCTCAGAGTGTTGTTTGTCTCAATCCCTGCCTTCATGTGTTAAACGCTGTCAGAAGAAAAGTTTTTTGTTCATATCCTGTATGTTGAGTCCTGTCTGCTGTTTGCGACCTCTAACCCTGGCTGCCTGTTCATTTTGAAGATAATTATATTTGTTTTAAAAAGGTTAAACGGTCCCATCCTACCTCTCAGCTGCTTTGCCTACTCACCTGCTTGGTGCCTCAGGTCAGCTGATCAGCTGCCGAGGTCCAAACAGAGGCTCAGAGAGAACAAAGCGTTTTGTGTTGCTGCTACCAGATTATGCACTGATCTCTCTCCACATCAGACAAGTCAACTCTCCACCACTAAAACTCTTCTACAAACTTTTTTTTTTTATTCCCGGACCCAAGGGGGTCAGAAGCATCCATAAAGTGTGTGTGTGTGTGTGTGTGTGGGGGGGGGGGGGGGGACACAATGATGTGTGTGTGCGCGCGTGCGTGCGCGTGTTAAAAAAAGGTGTTCACTAGTGAACAGAAAAGCAGCATTTCACCTAGATTTCCTTTAATTCCACACATTTAAAACATGTTTCTCATCAAGTTTGTGTAAATTCAGCTGTGGGTTTAAAGACATTTGAACTTTAATACAGAGCGTCAGGTCGGCACTAAATAAAAAAACATCACCACTGAACTTTTTTACTTGTGTTCAACACTCCTCATCTAAATGATGTTTCTCATGAATCTTGAGGACAATAAGGTGTGGGGGTTTAAAGACATTTCAACTTTAATGCACCTGAACACACCACGTCTCTTACACCTGCAGCCTCACAGTTACTGATAACATGCTACAGATGTAGCTCCTCTCAAACATCCTCCTAACATGAATATATGTTGATGATCAACCCCCTGGTTAATCACTGCCTGCACTAAGCTGCTAAACTGGAGAGTGAGTAACACAGGTACCTCCACCTCCTCCACCTGTACGTGTTTTCTACAGAGGCAGGAAGAGACGGTGGAGAGTTGGAGGTAACCTGGAAAACCTGGGGTGGAGTTTTAGTAGCTTGAGTATTCTCCTATTAATCAAGTGGAATGGATTTGTTCATGAAGAAAGAGAAACTGTGCCGACAGAACTAATGTTTCATAGTAAAAGTGGGGGGGTCCAAATGAACGTTTTTTTAATGTGGGGGGACTTGTCCCCTTCACATATAATGGTTGCAATGGATGCCCGGATCTTTGGCACAGCCTGAGACTTGTTTAATTAGCACCTCCTGTTTGATTGTTTTTATAGATCTTATCGTTTCATTCTTTGTGTCTTGTGTTTAAATGTTCTTTGATTTTAAATGCACGCTGTGGTTGTTTTAAGGTGCTTCATAAATAAAGCTCTGTGTAACCCGAGCCTCCATGTTGGCAGATTTCTTTGAATCAGCTGCTTCCTCAGTCTGCAGAAGACCAAGTTTATTCCCATGGTCTTCACAAAAGCTTCTCTTCCTGTTTGTCACAATCTGGCTTCTGCTGCCTCATCGGTTCATCCTGGGGGGGGGGGCTTCTTCCTGATGCATTGTCAGACCTTCCACTCAGTTATTATTTGTGCCTCAGGATGTTTGAGTTTGGGTGGAACCCGCTGGTTACTGAAAGGCAGCTCTCTTCTTGCAGCTAGCTACGTGTTGATGGTTTGGTCTTTTTGCTGCCATGTGAACACACTTCTGATCCCTGCCATGAATCTAACCTGTGAGTTAGATCTGTGCAGAGCAGACAGTGAAGGAACGTATCTCACCGGTCGCCTTTCATGCCAGAGTTTTAGACTGAGATAATCTCATAATGAGAAATGATAAAGTTGTAGCGGTTTTGTTCAAGTCTTGAAATAACTTTATGTACAATCTCAAGCAATATTGTGGAAACATCATCCGCAGAGTTAAGTGTTGTGAATGACTCGGAGCTACTACCACAACAAACTTTAGCTCAGTGTCTGTAAATCTGTCTGAGCTGCAGCCTTTTCTGTGTTTTCTAAAGTAACTTATGTAGCTGCGGTCGCCTTCTTCAACTGGATTAGCTCCAAAAACAAGAATTACTTTCTGCAAGTTTCATTCATTTGTCCAGCAGCTCATCACATATTTCAGTAGCAGACACACATCACCACCTGCCTGGAGGTGGGGGTGCAACAGACAAATCAGCATCTAGTTCAGCTCGTTACGGACAAATTATTTTATTCCAGCGAGTGCACAATGGTGTGTTGTAAGTAACACGTGGAAACTAAAATATATCTGCTTGTGAACGCCACAGGCTCTAACATCATATCTGAAGCAGAGGACGTGTGCCCTTAAACGTAATTCGTTCCTGCAGATTTGGTGTCCAATAGAACCATTCATTCCAGATTTAATACTAAACAGGAAACAGCTACACAGATGTGCAACATCACTTAATGTAGCTGCTCCTGAAAACTTCTTCAGGTAATAATAACGAGGGAAATATAAACACAAGATTAACATTAATAATAATCCTCCAGTAGAATAATTCCTCAATGTTGGGGTGGAAGCCATGATGGGTTCAAAGCGGGGCTCGAGCAGGTACAGAGACACGCTGCCGGTGGATTCTTGTCAAACCAAAACTGCAATATCTTAAGGAGGTGAAAGAGCCAGTGGTATTCTGACAGGTACAACAACCCCTAACCATTCATGGCATCTCTGATGACTTCCTGTTGATTTTAAATTAACTTAAGGTTTAAAAGGTTGTTTCCTGTTAACTGATCTCCTGAACACACCAGCAGGTGCCGTCCAGTCAAACAACAAGTTCCTCCAGATTCAAATATAACGATCAGGCTTTGACAGCGCCTGCTCCAAACATGGACATCAATTCACCTTTTAATATGGTCACAGCTCAGATGATACGTTTAAATATCTCATTAAGACCTTTTTGAACACAGCATAAGCTTAGATCTTACCTAACGCCTTTTCTTTTTGTTATTATTTTACAAAGGGAACCAGTTCCCATTTACAAACATGACCCGGTCAAGTAATTCCATAGATGTCTGCTACACTTTTCTGTGAATACTTGATGGTTATTTTTTGCTTATTTTAATTTGATGTATTGTTATCCTGGTTTGACTGTAAAGCACTTGGGTCAACTTGACTTGTGCTTTATAAATTCACGCACAGACAACAACCATACCCTTTTTAACGTTGCAACCCTTAAGAAGTGGAATTAAACACATCATTCAAGTTACACACAAGAAAATAAAAAATAATATTCATAAAGGGAAACATCATTCCAAACCATTGTGGACATTTAAGTGCCTCCAATCTGATTTTCTATTTATGGAGCAAATACTGTGTTGCCATAGCAACTGTCAGCATCCAACATTAAACTGGTGTGTTCAGCTTTGTGTGCATTAATGTAACCTTTATCCAAGCCCTGCAGTAAAACATGTGGGGCCATGTGTATTCTCTCTGTGCAAAGCAACACCTTCCATTGTGTATTCCAGATACTAATCACTTCCTGTGAGTAGAGCTAATTTTCTGTGCAGCAGAACAAGAAGAAAACTCCTTACACGACTCCACTTGACAGATAAATGTCTGTCTGGCTTTAAAACCCAACAAATAGCTCACCTGACGAGCTACTTGAATCTGCTTCCTCACCACCTCTTTAATAGTTGGTGAGTTATCCCTGGGAGGGTGATACAGCAGGCTGATGTTGGTGTCTGCATCTTTCAGATCCACCTCTGGCCACCCCAGCTCCAGGTCAGGCACTTCCTCGTCTGAGTCCAGTGGGAAGTAGGTGGAGGGGTTCGCCACCTTGCCCGTGTTCACTGAATCAGCCTCCACAACCGGTTTCTCTGCTTTTTCCAGGATGAAGAGAATCTCCTGCTCTGACAGAAAGTGTCTGATCTTCTCAGCTTGGACGTACTCCTCATAGGCCTCTCTGCCTCCACACAGCAGAGCGTAAATGGCCAGCCGGTACGATTCCTTGTAGTGTGGCTCGATGTAGACCTCAGGCACCTCGTCTGAAGACAGACTACACTGACTGTCCGCTGAAGACAAACCAGGCTGACTGGACTCCATGGATCCCAGATGCCCTCGGTCTGTGTGCATCGGCGTCTTATCTACCTTCAGTGTGAAATGTTACAAAAGTGTTACACAATGATCCGACTACCTTTAACTCTGACAACAAATGAGTGTAAATACAACGGCACTGTCAACAAGACATGAAACCCCAGAGTTATTAACAGTTGTCACCTGTAAATAAATCAATCCTTGTTTGTGTTGACTATAAACATTTGTTAAATTAAAAACATTTTCAAATCTTTTTTAAGGAAGTCAAGTTTTAAAACATTATGCAGCTTATTTACTTTTACTGAGAGCACAAAACAAGGAGGAAAACCTTTGAGCTAAACTTCAGCAAAGAGGCGTGAGGACTTTGTTAATAATAAAATGTTTAGAATATTATATATAATATATTTATATCAAACCAAAGAAATAAACACTTACTTGATCATCAGTGAAGGATATCCTTGTTTCTTATGCAATGGCAAAACCTCCACATGATTTTAAAAACTACGAAACATAACTTGTGTGTTGTTTTTCTTGGAGTATCTGTACTCTGTCCAACATAAACTAGTACTTGGAGTATCTGTACTCTGTCCAACATAAACTAGTACTTGGAGTATCTGTACTCTGTCCAACATAAACTAGCAGAGATGCAGTCACTGATCTGAACACTCTGTGCAAACCAGCAGCCTGTTGTACCTGCTCTGTTCGCTCCACTGACAGCTAACGTCACAAGCCCCGCCCACCTCTGCTCACCTGGGTTTCAGGAGCAGGTTTGTTTGCCTACCTGGCTGTCACTCAGTCTGTGGGAGATCACAGCCCAGGAACAATTTTTTTAACTTGTGACCTTATTCGTTGGTGCTGAAGGAAGTGTTACCTGCACACGACAATGAGGCGAGACAGCGAACACAACAGAGGCGGTTGATGAGGACAGTTTATTACCATCACAAAGCACCAGAAGACAAAAACAATTCAGAGACAGATGGACCTTTCTGGCAGGAGGAGAATACGATTACTCACATGTTCAGGCTTTGTGATAATTCAAGTACGATGCACATGGGAGAGGACAAAAACAGCTGACAGGAGGACAAATTAAAAGCAGTAGTCTGTTGTATGTGGTAACACTTTCCAACACTGATCCAGTTTGAAGTACAAATCTTGTTCATTACAACATGGGTCTGATTTCAGTAGTTTTGGACGTTGACGGATGTTATTAATGTAAAAATGATCTATGCCCAAGTCTGTGATGCATAAGATCCAAATGTAAGCTCTTGATGGAGGTGAAGCTCAAAGTGAGCACACGAGAAGCACAAGCTTCTGGATGGATGTAAAACTTCAAGCTGACGTTTGAAACTGCGTAATGATCCAGAGACAGCACACCTCCTCCCTCCCACACCACTGACCAGCTCCTGGAAATAAGACCCCACATGCAATAAACCTTAAATATGCTCTGACAGTCCTAAAACATGATAAAGGCATTCCACGTGCACGGAACAGTGGAAGGTTCTGCTTTGAAAACATTAAACTTCAATCTATGTAGGTCTTTTGCTTTTCTTCTGTTTCTCCTGCGTGAGTCACAAATGAAACAATGAAGCATCGTGTATCATGTAACTGCTTATGAACCACCTACTGAAATGTGCCACAGCAGCAGAAGCAGCAGTTTTGACTTTGGCACACGAGTTGTCTACAACTAAATCAGCTCTAAACTAACGGCTGCTGGTTTCAACTCATGCTAATGAGCAATGATGCTAACAGGAAAAGGTTCCTCTTCACATATCACCACTCCTTACTTTCTGGGTGGGGTGGGAGACTTCATGAATCTGGGTGGGGTTGGGGATTTGACACTGCGAGGTGGAGTTGGGGTTGGGGACTTGGGAACCGGGGTGGAGGCAGGAGTTGAGCTCTTCTGGGACGGTGCTGGGGTTGGAGCCTTAGATGGGGTGGGGGTCTTGGATGGGGGAGCTGGGGACTTTGGTGGTGCAGGCGTGGATGCTGGCGTGGCTGTTTTAGGCTGTCCCAGTTTGGGCTCAGGGATCTGCTCTCCATGCTTGTAGACGCTGACGGTGATCTCGACAAACTCTCCACCGTACTTGTTCCGAACGTTGATGCTGTACTTGCCAGAGTCTTCGGGAGTGACCTTGTTGATGACGATGCTGGCGAACTTGCCACCGTCGAAAGTTACTTTGGTGTGCTCGTTGGAGGCAACTTCCTGCTCATTTTTGAACCAGGAGACCTCTGGGGTTGGCTCGCCCCACACGGTGCAGGTCAGGCTCAGAGACTGGAGGAGCAGAGCCAGCTCAAGTTAAAATGACTCATTTAATACCGTTTGTCACAACAAACACTCTAGACACCTCAAGACATCAGTGCACACTCAATGAGACAGCTCAGCAGTGGTGGGCACAGATAACCCCAAACTTTGCAAATTAAAAAACTAGCGTCGCTAACGCTAAACCTCTAAACAGATAAGAAAATTAGCAGAAGCTAATGCTAAAGCAGTAACTTTTATCACCCACTGCTGTCGCCGACACTGTAAGACTAATATGACAACGTAACGCCAGTGAACACAACTCAGAACGGCTCATAAATCACAGATAAAGTGTTCGTGTCGTTCAGAAGTGAGCTTTCAGAATTTAATCCGGTCCATCGGAACCAAAGATGCAGAGCAGAACTCCCTCGTGTCATTTATTTAAATGAATCCACTCACTTTAACTATCCTCTTTGTGGTTAACTACTTTTATAAACTAACTACAAAGCTGAGGTTTGTTTTCATCAATATTCTCTCAGTAATAAATCTGTTTGTATTAAAGGTGTGTGAAATGTGTGAGAGAGTCACGTCCCAGAGACAGTGTGAATGTTGCAAAGCATGCTGGGTAGGAGTTATGTGGGCAATGTTTCTGAGTGTGAAAATGGGGTTTTCATGCTATTTTCCTGTTGTGGTTCAGCTTTTATCCATTTTACTTTGTGTGTTTGACATTTGTGTCTACAAGAATGTCTGCGTGCTTCTCTTTGAATTAATACACAGAAGTCGCTCTTCACTTGACAAACAGGTACTTGCACGTGTAACTGTGCAGTTATTCAGATTAGATTGGGCATGGTAATTTCATGGGATAATTACTGGATTATGACTTCCCTGTATGCAAATCTTGATCTGGGACTGCTTAATAAATCTAGATAAAGTAACAAAAAATAACATTTTCAGGCAAGGTTTTTAGAATTGGTATGGTAAAGAACTAATGTAAGAAATTTTGATGTAGGTTGTTTGAAGTCCACATTAAGTGACTGAAGGTAACTTCTTAACCATTTAATATTGTTTCTTGTCACTTCAATAAGAGCGAGTCATAGGTCAAGCTCCTATTTTTGTCTTTTGTTTCTGAGGAATGCTGCTCGGACACCTTCACCCTTCTACTGCACGGCTGAGGCCATGATGTAAACAACTGTGGAAGAAATCTGAAGAGACTGAAAAGATCTCACCTTCTCCTCCATAATGGTGACCACATCAGGCAGACCACCAACCACTCTTCCACGGTCTGAGAAGAAAACAACAATATGACTCCTCCCCTAGCCTCGACACAAAATACACACTGACGACTTTAAATATTTAAACTTCATTTGTACACATTTTGGGAAATAAATTCTGTACAGCATTAAAGAGGAGAATTAAAAAAGAATGAAAAGTTTTATCTGTGGTTTTTACACATGGTAAATTATTTTCTGTTGTGTCTCGAGAACAATGAACTCACACTCCAGATATTCTTGAATATATTTGAAAGAGCTGTTAAAATGGCTGTAGACAGTAGTCGTTTCCTTTAATCTGATTAATAACTGCTTTAAATTAAAACATGAGTCAGTTTCCTTTTATCCAAAAGTTCTTAAGTATAAAAGAATACATCTTCATCAGCACTTTTTTCAGCAGATCTACTTACTCTTTTCAGCAAATGCAGCAGCCCTAAAAGACAAAACATGTTCAGTATGATGCAAATATTTTATAAACAGATTGAAAAATTACATGTTCATAAGCTATTGCTATACAAACTTACTTGAGTCTTAAGTACTCTTCATATGCATCAGTGTACGCTGCAAAAAATACAAAAATCATAAACAACAAAAGAAATAGTCAAATATAAACAACACAAATAAATAAAATGTATGCACATGCTGGTGTAGAAGCGTTTTCTACCTTGTCCAGAGAGGTCAAAGGTCCTGGTGTGGGTCGTTACACCATCTGAGATCTCAATGGAGTATTGACCTTTCTCCTTATCAGAGGGATCACAGATCTGCATCCAGGCCATCTCCGCTGTGCCACCGATCCTCATCTTCTCAGAGGAGGCGATCTTATTTCCCCTGCAGTTTCACACACACCACCTGTTAGTTCAGACTTCAAGCTGGGTGTAAAAACATCTGGAGTTGTCTGTAGTCTGGGTTCAAGTGCACCATCACCACAACAAACACATTGACAGACGAGGGCTTTAAAACAAAAGTAAAGTAAGCCCGGTCAGACGGTCAGTGTGTCCCTGTCCACACTAGGACAAGGAACTATTTGAAATACCAAAATTCAAGTTTGACCAAAGTGTGAGAGATCAAAACACAAGGTCTATTCAGTAGGTGAGATCATCGTCTGCCAGCCTGTATAGAGTGCAGATTACTGCTGCTTTAAAGCAGGAGAGCTTGAACAACCTCAGCATTGTTTCTCTTTCAGGAAAATCTGCCTTTAAACAAGGCTTTAGCATAAAAAAGGCAAAATACCTGGAGTTCTAAGTACTTTGAGTACTCTGGAATTTTAATCAGACTATCCCAAAACAATTTTGTGTGTAGGAACTTAGTTCAATACACCTTTAAACAGTTGAGAGACACTAAACATTTTAAAATCTGTAGCTTCATCTACTGATCTACTGGTGGTGTTAAAATAGATGTACTTGTGTTTCCAGACTGTCTTCATCTCCTCCGTATAGTAACTCATGTAGCACTGCAGTCTGATGCCCTCTGGAGTACACTGCATCACCAGGTCAGAAGCAGATGCACCTGAGACAAACAGAACATTCAGTCAGAGACAACCTTCTGAAAGTAAAAAGGTCTCATGCTTGAGAAAGGCTGAGTCAAAGTCAATCTGTGTAATCAAAAAAGACCAACTGTCTCTAACATGTGGACATTTTCACCATTACAAAGTACAGCATGGAGCCGAGGGTCACGTGAAGACGGAAGTGTAGTTCTTTATGAAGCCAATCCATAAATATTGTAGAGCCTTTATGTGACTGGTTTGGCTAAATTTCCACTACAATTTTCAGCTCCCTACTCCTCCAGGCAGCTTTAGAAACTATAGAACCTCATGAAAACATACAACTTGATCAGGAGCAGCCTTTTGTAGCAGTATGTCATATGACGCAGAGAAAATTTGTAAAAAACTGCAAAAGATGTTCAAGTACACAACAATAGGATTTTGGTGAGTAATAAAATCATAACATTTTTCTCAGTGGAAATAATGCTCAGTTTTTAAAAGCAGGGTCAGTCCAAGTTTGTAAGAGGCCCTAAAGGCAGAGTTTCATTTTAGATCTCTTCTTAAGTTAAACCCACTCTTCACCAGTGGTGGGATGTAACTAAGTACAAGTACTTCGTTACTGTACTTAAGTACATTTTTCATGTATCTGTACGTTACTTAAGTAGAGTTAAACATGGGTACTTTTGACTTTTACTCACTACATTTTACATTAAGTGTCTGTACTTTCTACTACACACTACATGCCTATAATGCGTTGTGTTACAAGTTACATTCACGTTGCAGTTTTTTTATTTGTTCATTAGTTTGAAAGTAACCAGTGAGGGGAGTTGGTCCATTGAATCACTGCAAAGAGAGCAGGTAACGTTAGACCCGCCTTCAAGAAGACCTGGACCAGTGACGTTGTATATTCTAGTTTATACGTCATTGAGCTGGGTGCACCCACAGCACCACTAACACACCCAGACTGGATTCCACCGTGGAGAGTCAGCCAGAAGATACGCACCACCATGCGCCTTATTGAAAGATTATTGAAAGACTTTTGCCCTCCCTGGGCTGCCACCTTACCATGGTGGAGGGGTTTGAGTGTCCCAATGATCCTAGGAGCTATGCTGTCGGGGGCTTCACGCCCTTAGTAGGGTCACCCAAGGCAGACAGGTCCTAGGTGAGGGACCAGACAAAGTGCAGCCCAAACACCCCTATGATGAGCAAAATAAATGGACTTGATGTTCCCTCGCTTGGACGTGGGTCACTGGGGCCCCACTCTGGAGCCAGGCCTGGAGGTGGGGCACGCGGGCGAGCACCTGGTGGCCGGGCTTTTACCCATGGAGCTCGGTCAGGCACAGCCCGAAGAGGAGACATGGGTCCCCCTTCCCATGGGCTCACCACCTGTGGGAGGGGCCAAAGGGGTCAGGTGCAATGTGGGACGGGGACCCTGGCGGTCTGATCCTCAGCTACAGAAGCTGGCTATTGGGACGTGGAATGTCACCTCACTGGTGGGGAAGGAGCCTGAGCTGGTGTGTGAGGCTGAGAGGTTACGGTGAGAAATAGTCGGACTCACCTCTACGCATGGCTCTGACTCTGTAACCAGTTTCCTTGAGAGGGGTTAGACACTCTTCCACTCTGGAGTTGCCCCTGGTGAGAGGCACCAAGCAGGAGTGGGCATACTTATTGCCCAATACTTATTGTGTGTTGGGTTCACCCCGGTGAATGAGAGAGTAGCCTCCCTCTGCCTACGTGTGGACTGATGGGTTCTGACTGTCATCTGTGCTTATGCACCAAACGGCAGTTCAGATTATCCACCCTTTTTGGAGTCCTTGGAGGGGGTACTGGAAAGTGCACCTCCTGGGGACTCCCTTGTTCTGCTGGGGGAATTCAATGCTCACGTGGGTAATGACAGTGAAACCTGGAGGGGTGTGGTTGGGAGGAATGGCCCACTGATCTGAACACGAGTGGTGTTCTGTTGTTGGACTTCTGTGCTCGTCATGGATTGTCCATAACAAACACCATGTTCACGCATAAGGGTGTCCATATGTGCTCTTGGCACCAGGACACCCTAGGCCGAAGTTTGATGATCGACTTAGTCATTGTCTCATCTGATCTGCGGCCACATGTCTTGGACACTCGGGTGAAGAGAGGGGTGAAGCTGTCCACTGATCACTACCTGGTGGTGAGTTGGCTCCGATGGTGGGGGAAGATGCCGGTCAGACCTGGCAGGCCCAAACGTATTGTGAGGGTTTGCTGGGAGTGTCTGGCAGAGTCTTCTGTGAGACAGAGATTTAACTCCCACCTCCGGGAGAACTTTGAACATGTTCCGGGGGAGATAGGGGACATTGAGTGCGCGTGGGACATGTTCCATGCCTCTATTGTCGAGGTGGCTTACCAGAGCTGCGGCCACAAGGTTGTCAGTGCCTGTTGTGGCGGCAACCCTCGAACCTGGTGGTGGACACCGGTAGTGAGGGATGCTGTCAGGCTGAAGAAGGAGTCCTATTGGGCCTTTTTGGCCTGTGGGACCCCGGAAGCAGCTGATGGGTACCGGCAGTCCAAGCGACATGCGACTTGGGTGGTCGCTGAGGCAAAAATTCTGGCATGGGAGGAGTTCGGAGAGGCCATGGAGAATGACTTCTGCATGGCTTCGAGGTGATTCTGGTTAGGGATGGGCCCGATCCGATCCAGTATAGGTATCGGCCTCCGATACCAGCATAATTTACGTATCGGATTTTTCCGAACCACCTGCCGACATTTCTGATTCATGATGCAAGTTGGCTTCAAACTACGGAATGGATTTCCTGAACGGCGGCATGTCTCATGAACCCAGAGTAATAAGACCCGCCTCACATTCAGGAAATCCAGTTCATAGTTTGCAGCCAGCTACAACGTGAGGGCTGAGTTTATCAGCACTGTGGCTAACGGCTAACAAACTTTTCATCTAAACATGTCTGCTGTGTGGAAGTATTTAACACTAGAAACACCACAAAACAAGACAGCAACGTGCAATGTCTGCAGAGCCATAGCACCACATTAAACCGTGGTAGTTAGTTTTATGTTGGACATTCGAGCTCCGTGGCTTTAGCGGGGCACTACTCTTTGGTCAAATCGAAAGAGGCGACTCAACCCCGGCCAGCCGCGTCCAATCTGCCCCGCTCAGTCTGCCCGTCTCTGAGGACGGACAGACTAAGCCCGGCTGCCCCAAATCAGGCTGCCTGCTTCGGACTGAAGAAGAAGAAGACATCGCTGAAACCACGGAGCTCAAATGTTTACAGAGAAGTTGCTAAGCTTCATCATAATTAATGACCAACCACTATCAGTTGTAGAAAACGAAGGATTTTTCAGCTTGATCCTTGCAGCCAAGATATAGTTTACCCTCCAGGAGATATTTATCAGTAAAACAGTAGACAATCATAAAAAACGTATGATTTGAAAATTATATATTAAAAACAAAAACAGCTACATTATAAAGTGATGTAAAATACTAAAATCAGGAACATGTCTATTGGTTTATGCCATGAACTTAGCAGATGTTTGAAGCCATTTAACATTTAATTTAATTTAATTCATTTATTCATTCATTTAAATGAAACAAAAAAAAAATCAAAAAGAAAACATTGAATGAAAAGAGTGCAGAAAGAAGAAAAAAAATCTTATATCTGCCCCTTAATTAAAAAAAAAAAAAAAAAAATAAACAATCACTTAAATTAATCACTTTAATATCCACTTTAAAGCTAGGAATAAAAAGAAACATGTTTTGTGTTAGCAGAATTTTATTCTAACTTTAAAACTTATCCAACATTAATAAAACTTACTTCAAGTTGCCTTTTTGGACATGCATGCATATATTTGTACAAAGTGTACTTGAGAGGACATTATTACAGCTCCATATAAAATCAATGATTATCATGATATCGGAACTGGATCGGTATCGGCCGATATTCAGATCTAGGTATCGGGATCGGATCGGAAGTAAAAAAAGGGGATCGGTGCATCCCTAATTCTGGTCCACCATCCGGCATCTCAGGGAAGGAAAGCGGTACAACACCAACACTGTTTATAGTGGGGGTGGTGTGCTGCTGAACTCAACTTGGGATGTCGTGGGTTGGTGGGCAGAATACTTTGAAGACCTCCTCAATCCCACCGGCATGTCTTCCACTGAGGAAGCGGAGCCTGGGGACTCTGGGTCGGGCCTTCACTCTCTGGTGCTGAGGTCACCCAGGTGGTTAAAAAGCTCCTCGGTGGCAGGGCCCCAGGGGTGTATGAGATTCGCCCGGAGTTCCTTAAGGCTCTGGATGTTGTAGGGTTGTGTTGGCTTACGCGACTCTGCAATATTGCGTGGACATCAGGGGAAGTTCCCCTGTATTGGCAGTCCGGGGTGGTGGTCCCCCTATTCAAAAAGGGGGACCATAGAGTGTGTTCCAACCACAGGGGGATCACGCTCTTAAGCCTCCCTGGTAAGGAATATTCGGGGGTTCTGGAGAGGAGGGTCCATCGGATAGTCGAACCTCGGATTCAGGAGGAGCAGTGCGGCTTTCGTTCTGGCCGTGGAACACTGGACCAGCTCTACACTTTCAGCAGGGTCCTGGAGGGTGTGTGGGAATTTGCCGAACCTGTCTACATGTGCTTTGTGGACTTGGAGAAGGCGTTCGACCGCGTCCCTCGGGGAACCCTGTGGGGGGTACTCTGGGAGTATGAGGTACCAGGCCCTTTGGTACGGGTTGTTAGGTCCCTGTATGACCAGTGTCGGAGCCTGGTCCGCATTGCCAGCAGTAAGTCGGGCTCGTTCCTGGTGAGAGTTGGACTCCGCCAAGGTTGCCCTTTGTCACCGATTCTGTTCATAACTTTTAAGGATAGAATTTCTAGGCACAGCCAAGGTGTTGAAGGGATCCGTTTTGGTGGCCTTAGGATCGCGTCTCTGATTTTTACAGATGATGTGGTCCTATTGGCTTCATCAAATCGTGAGCTACAGCTTTTGCTGGAGCGGTTCGCAGCCGAGTGCGACACAGCCAGGATGAAGATCAGTTCCTCCAAATCCAAG